TACTTGTGATAGGATTAAGAAAACAGAAACTTAATAATGTTGAAAGGTGGGGTATGAGGAAATTAGGAGTAAGGTTATTAGGGTGAGAACTCGACTCCTGGTAGGTGTATAAGGAGAGGGCATAAAACAGAGACTAATGGGCACAGACAATCTGCTCTGCTCCTGTGCTCATGGTATGCTGCATCAGAACTCTGAAATGCCCACCAGATGTTGGCCCTGGACCTTGAATCTTTAAACCATGAGTTAAATAAACTTTTTATAACTCACTCAGTTTGGGGGTATTTTCTGTTATTAGCGACAGGACAGACCAACAGAAATACCAAGGAAGCCTTATTTAGCTATCAGATTTTGCCACTGGATTGGTATACCAAAGAGCTGACACTGGGGACCAGCAGGTGGTGTGTTGGTTAAGGTACTGAACTCCCACAAGGCCAACCACAGTTCGAGTCCCAGACCTAGCAGCTTGAAAATTACACATGTGTGTGCACATGTGCACCTAAAATCCTGAGAAGAAAATGGAGAAGGGTATTGCATGGCCATACCCCCTGAAGGGTGATTTCTCACTTCCCTTTTTTCTGTCTCTCTTGTCTCTGGCAAGTACATGTACCCTATGACAAAAACCTAAAAAATAAAAATTAAAAATAAAGGTAAGAAAAAGCTGACATTGCTCAGTTCTACTGAACATGTTTAAAATAGAGTATTTCCTTGCAACGATCCCTCTCATCAACATGAACAAGTGTTTTACCCTGTGGTTTCACCCCCATTCAGTGTGTTCCAACAATCACCAGCAAACTCAGCCATACAAAGAATGTAGACCCAACTTTCTCTCAACCAACATTTGTCTCCTAGTGAGATGAAAAAGAACATGTTACACCTTCTCACTAATCTTTTCTGCTCCCCAAACTGATGTTCTAAAACCAAAGATCTCAATTCTATTTCAGCTCATGAAAGCTACATGTACCTCCTTTTAATCTATAAGGTCTACCTAATTTGCAAAATATTTTATAACTTCAGCCTCACCAGAAATGAATCAGAATATACTACCCAAACATGGTATGACCTTCACAATGGTTACCGAAGAACCAAAAAAGAGAGAAATCAAGAAAAAGAATTCCTCACACTATAGATAAGCACCTGATACTGACATAATCTGATCATCGGTCCATAATTTAATTTACAAAATCATCACTGTTCTATAGAAAAAGCAGGAAACAGGTGTGAACTCTTATTAAAATGAAGATATGTTTTAAGAAGCCAGAGTTCTGGTAACCTGATATGCTGATCAACATAACATTATTCCAGGTAACTGAAATAGCCATTTTAGGACCTCTTGACCCTGAGAGTCTGGCAACTCACACAGCACACGGTGATCTTCAAACAGGGCATCCATATGTTTTTCACTTATCGCCTAGTTCTGGTTAAGAACAAATTTACTGGAATAGGAAGACACACACACACACACACAAGTTTAAACAAATCTAAATCTGAAGGCAATATTCACTCCCAAATACCTAGCACATTAACAGAAATATCAGACATCAATTAACTGTACTTTTATCTCTCCATCTTTCTACCTGTCTACCTACCTACCAAGGTATTTATTTTAATCACCAGATTAAATGGGATCTACAAAATACATAGTCCAAGACCTGCTTACAAAAAAATCACCAAAATTTCCTGATGTATAAAACACATTAAAAATCTCTATAACTGTGGGACTATCACATGGCATAAAGATTACATTGCTGGACTCCCATGTAGTTGACTGCGGTTCGAGTTCAGGACCTGGAAGCTTAAAACTCATGCCAGATGTGTGTGCATGTGTGCCCAAAATCCCAGGAGAATGGAGGAGAAGGGATGATGGTGTGGCTATCCCCCCTAGGGGGTGATTTTTCCCTTTCTGTCTCTCTGAAGAGTATATACGCCCTATAGCAAAAATCTCTTTAAAAAAATCTCTAAAACTGTAAGCTGCCTTGAACCCTTTCCTTAGACACTAAAACTAAGTTTCATACTTTTTTTTTGAGAGGTTTTTGCTATAGGGCATGTGCACTCACCAGAAAGACAGAGAGAGACAGAGAGACAGAAAGCAAGAAATCACCCCCCAAGGGGGATGGCCACACCACAATCCCTTCTCATCCATTCTCCTCTTGGGATCTTGGGCACGCATGCACATGCACCCAGCATGAGTGTAAGCCACCGGGTCTGGGACTTGAACCACGGTCAACTACATGGTAGTCCAGCGACACAGCCATTATACCAACCGCTGGTCCCCAAGTTTCATACCTTTTACCAACTAAACAGTGTAAAAAGGAACTGGAAAAAAGGAAATCTTCCAAGTAGTCTTCCATCTGAAATTAATCTAAAAAATATCTAATTAATAGTCTTAGGCATAAGTTAAAGTTAAAATTTCAATTTTGTTCAAATTATACAATGCAATAGCTTTCAAATTTTGTATGTGTTTTAGCTTAACAGCCCACTTTTCGCCCTTTGATTTGTACACTTCACAAATGTTCACATCCACAGAGGTTATAAAAATTGTTGACCAAATGGACTTTTTCATTTTTAAGTTTTTTGCTATAGGGCACATGCACTTGCCAGAGAGTGACAGAGAGAGAGAAGGAAAGTGAGACATCATCTCCCGGGGGGATATCCCAGCTGCAATCCCCTCTGCTCCAATCTCCTCTCAGGATTTTGGGCACGCATGCACATGAGTACAGTGTGTTTTTCAAGCTACTGGGTCCAGAACTCTAACTGCATAGTCAGCCTCCTGGGATCCAGCCACCTTAACTACCACTCCACCTGTTGGGCACATAAGGGCTTTTTCAAAGGTAAAAGGGATAGCAGCCTGAAGGCCTTACTCTTGATTTCCCATCACAATACAAAGAGTCTATCGCAGCCTCTCAGTGCTCCACTACACTTTTTCATAGCCTCTCTCTCTTTACATTAAAAACAAAAACAATCCAAGCTCAAACTTACCCTATTTTATTGCCTTCACTTGTAAAAAAAGTAACACAAGACAGCACACTGCAAGTTCACAGTTTCTGTTATGAGAATCAGAAAAATTCTAATCCATCTTTCTTTACAACAGATTTCTTTATTAACAGATCATCTTCTTTGAATGGTCAAGGTTCCAAAAAGTCAAGAATTATCCTAGAAGTATATGTGAAAGAGCTTAACATGTCAAGAACCTAAAGCAAGAAGTAACTGACCATTTCAACAGCCGACACTTCAGATACTATTAGCCCTGTGCACCCACTGACCACGTATATCAAATGGCTAGCTAGTGTATGTCAGCCATGAGACATTCTCAAGTCTTATTCCCTGCAGAAAAACTAAAGAAATGAGCAACTTCGGTCAGCTCAAAAATCTACATCATTTCATACTATGTAAAAAATAGACTCCTACCCTCAAAATGAGATTTAAAAAAAAAAAAAATTCCAAAGGAATGCATCCACTCACCAAAGAGAGACATGGAGACATGGAGAAAGAGAGAGACAAAGCAACCTCCCCATGAGGCATGGTCACACCACGATCCTGTCTCCTCCATTACTCCATTCTGTCAGGATTTGGGGCATACACATACACATGCTTCTAGCTGCCAGGTCTGGAATTTGAACTACGTGGCTGGTCATATGGGATCCAGCTCCTGTAACCCTTAGCCTAAAGGGCAAGACTTCTAAGAGATTTCTTAAGGTGCAGCTTTCAGTACGAAAGGTTTCCTACAGTTCACATCGATGATTACTTTGCCTATTTCTGATACCTGCAAGGAAAAAAAAATCACTAACATAATCTTCTAACAGCATAATAAAATAAAATAAATTCAGACCAAAAAAATGTGCCTAATCAGATTATTTGTTTTTGCTAGCAATATAAGCCATGTCAAATTTACTCTTTCATTTACTGTAATTACTAAGCAATTATATGCCAATCACTGCACTAGGTACTAGAAATAAAAATGATGAGAAAGATCCTGTGGCATTATGCCATACAAATAATTATCTAATAATTAGTGCTGGAAAATTGATTGCTAAATAATTTTTCAAACTTTCAGGTTAATATTAGTACTGTTATAATGTAAAGTCTTAAGTTGACTAACTTAAATATAGCTAAATTTAGAATACAGAGTTTTCATTGTAATCAATCATATTGGGCAAGAAAGAACCTTCACACAATACCATTGGGATGGTTTATTCCCTCTATTTAACGCTACCTCTATGTAATACGTGAGCTTATCCAGGATAATGGGTTTGTATCCTAAGGTACAAGATACTGAAAGTACTGAAGAGTTCAGTGATGGTAAGAGAGTCAGGACTAACACAGCAAGACACAATATATCAAGAATCAAGCTCTTCAGGAGGTAGACAGTGGTCTAAAACTTATACTGATATCTCAGCAGACACATTGCTTTGACAAAATTCTCAAGATGGAAGAAGAGCAGGGCTCGAAACAGAAAAGGTTATTTAATATTACTTTCCAGCCTAGAGTTAATCCTATAAAACCCAAAGAAGAATGTGATAGGAAGTTAATAAAGCCTGTTTCTCACACAAAATCTCCAGAAGTAGGAATTCTGTGAAACTATCCAACATGTAACTACATTTTTCAGCAACCCTACTTGGCAGCATGTTTTCTTTTTTAATTTGGCAAATCTGATCATCCCACAGACATCTTATTATTGGATGCTGCAGCAAATAAGGCCTGTGCATGCTTTCTGCTGTCACTGGAGTCTGTGAACGAGAACTTGCTGAGTATCTGAGATTCATATCCACATGGTGGTTCTGAACTACAGTAGAGGATTCTGTCCTTGGGGGTCTGTGCTATGGAAATCACATACATAAACAGATTAACAGAAAAGCAATAATTAATTCTGCTGATAATTCAATAATTGACTCACCTTATTATGAATTCCACTTTTTGGTGTTTCTGTGAGGTTCCAAGGTACTTAAAAGTCCATCCCAATGAGAGTAAGAAAGCAAAGAACTATAAATGCTAATTAAGATTACCTTTGCTCCAAAGATGACGAAAACATTTGTCCAGAGGCTGATTTAGAATTACAAGGCAGTACTTCAAATGCCCTATAGAAAAAAAATAAATAAATAAGTGAATAAATAAATAAATGATCTGACTCTTTTGTTCTCATTCTTTGGTTCCATTAGGTAATCAGAAAAGTCATGATGTATTTCTTCTATCTTTTTCTGTGCAAAAATGCATCATGACTTGTCCCACGACCCAAGAGAAATGCATCCCACTAGTCTATACTTTCAACCTTCACAAGGCTAAAATTCATGTATATTTTAGTTATCGTATCTTAATCTTAAGAGATGTAATTTATCTGGGACCAGCAGTTAGCATAATGGCTACGTCACTGAACTCCCATGTAGCCAACCGCGGTGCAAGTCCTGGAGCCAGTGGCTTAAACCCACGCCGGGCGCATTTGTGTGCGTGCCCAAGATCCTGAGAGGAGAATGGAGGAGAAGAGATTGTGGTGTGGCTATCCCCCCTGAGGGAGTGATTTCTTGCTTTCTATCTCTCTGTTGTTCTGGCGAGCACACATGTCATATCCAAAAAAAAAAAAGAGAGAGAGAGAGATGTAATATATCACAGCCGGTAGGTGAGATGGTCATTAAGGGCACTGGACTCCCACAGAGCCAACTGTGGTTCAAGTCCCAGACCTGGTGGCTTGCTTTCTCACTCTCTCTCTCTCTCACTCACTTTCACTCTGTCTCACTCTCTCTCTCTTCCCCTCTCTTTCCCCTCTCTGTCCAAATTAAAATAAATAAAGTTAAATTTAAAAAAGATATATTAACAGGACCTGCTTTATTCAGTATGTATGTCACGTTCTTATACTGCTGAGAAACTTATCATACAAATATAGTAAAATTCATTTGTCAGGGGTTGAGAAACAGAATGCTCGTGTTAATTTATTATCATCCTTCTGATATATTGACCACTTTGATACAACTACCCTTCCTTTGGGCTGGTTTTATATCATCCTGACATAATCCACAAAGAGGTTTGGTCTGGTGGGTGTATATTTTCACATTCATTCTCATTCATTCATATTCTCTTTTTCTCCATCTTTCTTTCCCTCCCCTCTATCCTATCTTGAATTTCCTAATTAAAAAGTCGTATGTTTTCATAAAATTCTACTTGGGTCTTTTTATGACTATTTTATTTCATGTTTTTAAGCAAAATTCTGAAGAGATGGAGAAAAGTTACTTTTCCAACAATCATTCTATGCCTTTTATAATGTATTTTAAATAGAACAAAGCAAAACACAATCAGGTTGTTGAAAATCTGTCATTCAGTTCAGTCCAAGCATTCTCCATGTCATTTACGGAAAAGAAATGTTTGTTTAGTGATAAGAAAAATTAATTGTTTTTTTAAGCAATCTCACTGTTAGAAATGGAGCAAGATAAGGAAATGAAAAGGATATGCCATCATCCACCACAAACATTATTAAGTGCCGATTATATACAGCCACTAGAAAAACAAAGAGAAATAAGATTACAGGCTATCTGTGAGATAAGACATTTATAATAAAGACAAACAACACAATACAATGCAAGTATATGAGGGATGTCAGAGAAATAGATAAAGGGATAGGGTACGAGTTAAAAGGCTGGGATGTCAGGAAGGCCTAGTGTCATCCTAGGAATCTATGTGAAATGTAGATTGAACTTGATCTTTCACAGAAAAGGAAGCTGGCAAGAATAAAAGAAAGGGCATTCCAGACAAAACAACCCACGGGCAGCTGCTATCCTTAGCCATTAGGGTTACTACAATTAGAAGTTTAAGAAGCAATGCCTCCATGATGTGAATCTAGGACATTAACACTAACATACATTTTAACCCATGTTTAAGATGACAGAGACATTTAGGTTGAAATATCCAGGAGCATTAAGATTAATGCAAAAATGAGTAGTAAAAGCAATTGATATATATCTGGGATCCATCCACATAGAGATAAGTTACAGATAAAAGAAAGTAGAGAGCCACAGAGATACTGCAAAGAAAGGGCAGAAAGAGGCACCAACAAAGGATGAAGGCAAAATCATTGTGTTTTGCTCATCATTACAGAGCAGGAGGAGGTTCACAAAGGAAATGCAGCAGGAAAAAACAGGAAGGTAAAAGAACTAAGGGTATTTCCAAGAATGTGCTGTCAATAACACAGCACGCTACAAAGATGGCAAGGAGACTAAACAAAGAGAAGAGGCCATTGGAGGAAGGAAAAAAACCTCAAAGAAAAATCTAAAAATTCACAGAGAGACTCGAGACAGTAAAGAGACCAAGAAGTTAGCAAACTGTGAGATTAAGGACTAGACATCTCTTCTTAAAATATAAAAAGTGAACTATGGGGACCAAGAAAAAGGCAGCAGAGCCAGAAGAAAATGGTTTAAATACAGAAAGAATCATGTATTCTAAATAGAGGAGAATGGGGAGGAGGCAAAGGTAAGAAGGAAAGAAATCCACTTATTCCTTCGGCAGGCATTTAAGCACAAAGTCCTCTTGTGCAGGCATTGCTCTACACAACATGGAACAAATGAAGCCCTATCATCAAGCATATATACTGCCAATTAAAGGGAGGTACTGAAGGGCCACTGCACGGTCTAATAGTTAAGGGAGCCAGATCCCACTTGGCTGACTATAGTTCAAATCCTATCCTCCAGTCTGGAAAACATTCTGGGCACACACAAGACCCAAATGCCAACAGAATGGAGAAATCAAAGACAAAAGATGGTGGTGTGGCCATGCCCAATTGGGGGGATGCTTTCTCTCTCGGTCTCTCTTTCTCTCTGGCTAGTGCATATGCCCTTAGGCAATGAAAAAACCAAAATGATCCTAGGATCAAGACACATGAAGATATATCATAGAGCCACGCCAAACTGGAGAAGGCCTGTTTATTTGGAAAAAAAGAGAGAGAGTATAATATGGAATTAGAGTAGAATAAAGGAAATTTCTTTTTAGAGGTTTTTGCTATAGGGTACATGCGCTTGCCAGACAGAGAGAGAGAGAGACAGACAGAAAGTGAGAAATCACCCCCCGGGGGGATGGCCACACCACAATCCCTTCTCCTCCATTCTCCTCTCAGGATCTTGGGCACGCACGCACACGCACTTGGCATGAGTTTTAAGCAACCGGGTACAGGACGCGAACCGCCATCGACTACATGGGAGTCCAGCGACATAGCCATTATGCTAACTGCTGGTCCCAATAAAGGAAATTTTAAAACAGTTGAAGAAACAGATTATAGAATCTGATAATCCACAACCTTAAAATATAAATTCAGATGGGGTTAACTAACAAGTGTATGACATCGGATTTAATTTTATAACTTTTCTACAGACATTAGAAAGTAGGAATAAGCATAAATGAACAGGACGGTGATGGTGGCTAGTTACAAGAATTAGCAAATTCACCTGTCAAGAGGTAAAGGGAATCGAGTATGCTCATCAGGGCAGCTTTAGCATGAGTGACTGTGGCAGAGACCAGAATCTGGAGGGCCTGTGAGTGTTTTGCTTTCTGCTTTTAATTGTTTTATTGAGCACATTTCTGTCCAGGTTAAACAAACAAACAAACAAAAAACAAAACAAAACACACCTGCATATTCCAGATACCCTTGCAGCAAAATGTGGTCATCAGCTGCAGTGTCACAAACAGGGGCTCAGTGGCTGCTGAGTAGTGCTAGGGGCCAAGTGGTCAGCTCCAGGTTAGCACCCAGGTGTACCCGAACCCACTGAGTGCACCTGTGACCCTCGTAGCATCAAGACCCTGTCAAGGGTACATGGATATGTCTGTTTGCCTCTCTCACTTTCAGGAAATGAATAATTAAAACAAACCAAAAATTACATTCCTCCAAGGAGATGTGTATACGCACTTTTTATGTTATTTCTCAAAAACTGGAGGAGGCTTTTACTTCTTTCCTACCCCTATCCTGCCATCTGGCAAAGGGATGAAGTCAGGGAAATGAAGTTCCAAGCAGCCTCAATGGATCACAAGAACAAGGGCAACAAATGTCCTGAAGGAGCCTGGGACGCTGAGGACTTCATGAGTTCTCCACTGCAGCGCTTCTCTGCTTACCTCTCAACTTCTTTTATATGAATAGAAAATTAACTTCCTAATCTTGGTCTTCATTCTGGGAAGTTCTTCTGGAAGCATCAGGCCCTACCATGACTTCAGGAGACAAAACTGAAAACCTAGCCCCTGCCACAACTTTATGAGAATTCAACAAAAAGTAGTGAGGCTGCAAATTAGTTTCTTCCCCTTCCCCCCTTCCTCCCTGCCTCCCTTTCTTCATTCCCAGTGGCCTCAAATCAATCAGGGGAGTTGGTGAAACATGAGAATTCCCAGACTTTACCCTAGATCTATCAAAGCATGGGGCACAGAGACCTGTATGTCATAGCAGGCTATTTTGACACGGGTGATCCATATGCGTCACTCTGGGAAACACCACTTTGTTGTCCCTGTACTAGTTCCAAAAACCCAGTGGGGCCCAGGGTGCTTGTTTCATATGGTAAGATCTATTATCACCGCAAGCAGCTGCAAAGCTTAATACTGCTGGCTGACCCATTTATTCTTCCAAATAATATGTGCCAAGCACTCAACTAGGTGCTGAGGATCAACAAACAAACGAACAAAGAAAACCAAACACCACAGCTAAAAAAAATACACACACACACACAAATATTCCAAAACCTGAAAAATTTGAATCTAAAATATTTCTGGGCTTGAGCATTTCAGACAAGAGATATTCAATTCTGCATAAAATTTAAATATGATTGAATTGATAAATAGGGCAGAAGCGACAAATCTAAGCAGAAGAATTTAAGTATTTAAAGCACCGCCCTTTAAGAAGTGGGAGCAGTTGCAGGCTTTACATGGCATGGTGTGGATCTAAACAGAGTAATTTCCTTCTATAGAGCACAGTCTGAGAAGGGGAGAAATATTTGCAGTGGAGACATCTTATAAATACTACTTCAGCTTGGTGACTGTGGTCAACAGCAACAGCCATGAATCCTGTTGCTAGGATATACGTACCCTTGGTAGGATATAACAAAAATGGCATTCTTTCTCT